CGTTTTCTGGGGAGGTCAGCGCTGTAATTGGATTAAGCTTCTGGTAGTGCCAGCCTTCCAGGATTCATTCCTGGTCCACTTGTAGCCCTGTGCAAGGAAATGTTGCCCCAAGTGCTAATGGTGCCCCACTTTCAAAACTACATCTTGGTAGAATTTCTAGGTGAATAAATGTGATTGCATCTACCTATCAGGAGTAGGTTTTAATTAAAACGGTCCCCTTCCAGTAATAAGGACAATTATTGGACAATTTTTATGAATGTGGAAATAAGTTATTAGTAATTAAATTAGATTACTAGCCCATCATACTTTTGTCATATTCATTATTCATATACTGCTTTCTTTAATTTATTCACTTCCCCCTTTGTATGTGAGTAGTTAATAGAAAACAAATAATGCCTTGCCATACATAATGTTTAACTTTAATAAAGTTCTGTGATCATCTTTTGTACCACAATTTCATAGGAGATACTGAATTAATTTTTATATTGAAATCCAGCTTGGGATGGACTGAGTCAAATTTCAGTGATTTTTTTTTTTTTTAATCCCTGAAATATCTAATTGCTGAAGCTTAATTTTTTCATATAGATTTCAGCATTATTCTGTGAGGAGGGGTAAAGATGAGATATTGTAAACTCAAAAGTCAATCATCAAATACTGAATTTCTGAGTCAGTTTCATTTTTCAATTGAAAAACATAGGTGGCTATAATGGATGTTGTCTGACTTAGTGGGCCTTCTTTTATTGAGTTCACCTTTTCTTTTTTTAATTTTTATTGTTGGTTGTTCAAAACCTTACATAGTTCTTGATATATCATATTTCACACTTTGATTCAAGTGGGTTATGAACTCCCATTTTTACCCTGTATACAGATTGCAGAATCACATCAGTTACACATCCATTGATTTACATATTGCCATACTAGTGTCTGTTGTATTCTGCTGCCTTTCCTATCCTCTACTATCCCCCCTCCCCTCCCCTCCCCTCCCCTCTTCTCTCTCTACCCCCTCTACTGTCGTCATTCATTTCTCCCCCTTGTATTTTTTTTCCCTTTCCCCTCACTTCCTCTTGTATGTAATTTTGTATAACCCTGAGGGTCTCCTTCCATTTCCATGCAATTTCCCTTCTCTCTCCCTTTCCCTCCCACCTCTCGTCCCTGTTTAATGTTAATCTTCTTCTCATGCTCTTCGTCCCTACTCTGTTCTTAGTTACTCTCCTTATATCAAAGAAGACATTTGGCATTTGTTTTTTAGGGATTGGCTAGCTTCACTTAGCATAATCTGCTCTAATGCCATCCATTTCCCTGCAAATTCTATGATTTTGTCATTTTTTAATGCAGAGTAATACTCCATTGTGTATAAATGCCACATTTTTTTTATCCATTCGTCTATTGAAGGGCATCTAGGTTGGTTCCACAGTCTTGCTATTGGAGTTCACCTTTTCTTTGTAAAACAATTTCATAAAGCTTTGATGTTGAAAACAGGCCATTCTTAAAACTTAGTTTAAACATGAATTAAATATTTTTCTTCAAATTCCCAATTATTTGGTAAGGTCTCTTAAATAAATTGAAAACAATTGTCATTTAAATATAGAACTTTTCCTTATAGAATGTGACAGTTGCCACTTTATGTTGCTTAGAAATCTGACTCTTAATCAGAAACCATGATTAAAACTCATGGTCATTCTGTACTGGTGTCGGTATCAAGAAGCAAAAACAAGTACTCCTTAGCTGAAGTGTTAGGTTTTTATGATCACACACCACCTCCCCGCCTTTTTTTGAAAATTAAAAACCTTGTCTTTATAATAATTCATAGCAAGTTTTAGCAAGAGTGTCTTTTCCTTTTTTTAAAAAAAAACTATTTAACATAGTTTTGTTACACTCAGTGCGTCCTGCTCAGTTCTTTCAGCCCAGAGATTCACTTAAAAGCTGTTGAAAACCCTAGGAGTATAGTTTTTCCCCACAGGTAAAATATATTAGAAGTTTTTGGTTGCCTGAGGAGAGTGTTTTTGTAGAAATATGGGAGTGTCATCCAGCTGATTGTAAGATATACAAGCGGGTCCTTATGAGTATACGATTTGCCAGTGATGCAGGTAAGCTGGAGCATTATCAGTTTTGCATCAGTAGCGTGTGGTAGCAGGCTTTTATTGAGCAAAGAATCATTTCTTTCACTTTTTAGATATGTGGTCGAAAGTACAAGCTTCTGAGCCTGATAGCATAGATTCACAACTTGACAAGTCAGGCAAGTTACCTCAGTATCATCATCTGTGAAATGGCAGAATAATAGTAACTCTTCTTAAGGTAATGGTGAGAATTTAGATATTTAAAGCACTAGAGAAGTGCCTGGCACAAGACCTACATAAGTACTTCCTATCATTAACACCATCTTTGTGTAAATGGCAGAGAAATTTCATTCTGATGGTTTTTGATAACTATTTTTTGTGACATACATTCATTTTAAATGAAAAAATGTTATTTAGGTTTCAATAATCAGTGTGATTATTCCAGTCATCACGGTATGATTATTCACAGATTTCTAGAAGTAGCATGAACTCACTGATTTTAACTGGCATTTGAGGAGGGTAGGTAGGTTGGAGGTCACAGGACACCATGATGAAAACTCCTATTTAACTCACATTAGCATATTTTTACTCTTCATGTAACATACTTCACTCATGTATGTAACTCCCATTTCCACTCTGTGGCAAGCACAGGGCGTGGCGTGATTAGAAATGATCATCTACTTATGTATGGATAGGATATGTACTAACAACTGATCACCACCTCCCATGGCCTGTACCTCCCAAATCCTTCCCCTGGCTCTGAGAAGACTGAGCTCCTTGCATGAAGCTCCTGTCAGAGCTTGACAATGACAAAGGTGTTAGAACCACAAAGCTATACCTGTCAGATTTTAAGTAACTGTGGATTTGCACAGATGTTGTGTTCCCTTGGGACCTTGGCATTTTGTTATTTTAATGTTTTGGTGAGCAGTAAGCAGTGGATATTAATTTGAAAAAATTGCGTGGCTACTGGTTTGATTGAGAAGGAAGCTGTTTCCCTTCCCAGGAGGGATATACTTAACATTTCAAGGCCAAGATTTATGTTTCATGGCCCTATTTTCCAAAGGATAGTCATTTTTACCCATGATTCATTTTTGAGATGTTGTTGATTACAAACCTATGATTTCTCCCAGTTTAGATTTTAGCAAGGAATTTTGCAGGGAGTGGCGCATCTAGGTGTGAGTCCTGGTGTGCTGGGAAGAACTATGTGCAGTTTGTCCAAAACTAGAAAAATAACTGGTTAGAAAAAGAGCACTAAGGCTAGAAAACCAGAATGTCTTGTAAAATGAGGTACTATTTATTCATTTCCGGTTCTTCTGTGTTGCATCCCCTTGTATTAAAATCTATATTGAGTGTTTAGTGAACTAATAGGTACATGTGTATAATCTTAATCGTTGAGTTTTCAATGCTGGACTTTGCACTGAGAGCATGACCTCTTCTACTTCCTTCTTTCACTCCAAAAGGGGGACTGACTGTTGACACCCTGTTCTGATTTGTGCCTTTAGATCTCTGCTGCCTCCCAGGAATAGGGCCTTCGCAGCAGCTTTCTCTTAAAGGACCAAATGAGGAACTTCCAGGGAAATCGCACCTTCCAGGGGGGTATCCCTCCTTTCACTGCGTCACAGCCAGGCTCCCTGGCTCTTCCTAACGCAGATCCTGCATGGTGATGAATTTCTAAAGAGAACATGGAGACCCTGGAAGCATTGAAGGGAAACTCACGTTAAATATTAGCACCAGACTCACAAGCCAGGCGCTGTGGAGGGGACTGGCATATTGATATTTTATATAGCATTCCAGGAGCTTGCCAAAGAGGAAATATATAGGAGAAGATGAGATAGATCATTCTTTGATGTATCTTAGCTCCCTGCTTTAGAATCAAAAAACAGATTCTTTAGAATGATTGTTGGAACCTAACAGAAGTTTTACTTAGGGACAGTTTCCAAAGAGAAGTCCTCTAGTGCATTCAGATTCCTTTTTCTTGCATGATTACTGGGTTATAGTATATTTAATTTTTCCCTTGCAAAATAACCTCATTATTAAACCTCATTTAAAAATTGTTTTCATCTAGATTAAAACTCAGAGATAATTATATTTAAACCTTAGGTATATACAGGATTTTTCCTTTTCAATGTCAGAAAGCCCTTTTAAAAAACTTTTTTTATCATATGTGACTGCTTCTGATTAGAATCTTAAAACTATCTAAATCAGTGACCCTTGAGTTGAGTACACTGAAGTGACAGGTGAATTAATTCTTATTTGTACTTAATCTAGGGAAGAGGAGGTAAGCAAACAAGCAAATATGTTAAATGAAAGCTTAAAAGACCAGTCCTTCATTGGAATTATGCTTAGTATTTGGAGTCTCTGTTGTGAAAGCCTGAGGTTTAACTCATCATAACTGCTATTTTTCAACCAGTTATCACCTCATAAATGTTAGGTCCTGAGTAGTATGCAAGGTGGTCATCCCTGTGGAAGGAAAAGGGGCTTAAGATGATGGATGGTCTTCTGGAAACAGGTCTTCAGAGTTTGTGAATGATGTGATACGAGGGAGGATACTGCAGACCTTGTTGAAGATCAGAATTGCCCCAACCCTAGGCTAGGGTTAGCAGTTACTTTTTTGGGGTCAGGAACATTAAATGTGAGTCCCCTTTTGCTTCTAAGTTTTCTTGGAGGGCAGCATAGTTATGTACCCCTGGCATTTTGCTGCTGCTTGGACTTGAGCTGGAGTGTGCCCCCTCCTGGCCGAGGCTAGTGCGTCTGCTCGGCTCTCAAGTCTTGTAGTATCAAAGCTTCGCATTCTGTGAAGCCAGCAGTTTATCCAGAATACATTCATTATGAAAATTCAACTGAATTTTGGTCTTATTTTTAAATTATTTTTTTTTGTAAAATAGATGAAAAAGAACTCAAATGACTGCTCTATTTTTGTTAACTTGGTTTTTTCTACCATAGGTCTCAACAAATGGCAGCTATTACATCAGACAGTGACGAGTCCTGCTGCTCCCTTACAGTGTCTGACAGACCACTGTGGATTCAGACTGGGAGCATTGAAGTTAACAGTGAAACGGGCAGGTCTGTCTGTTTGAAGCCCTGCCACGAAGTGAAGAGGGCATCATGTCATCACTTAATCATTCCTGAAGTAGACTAGGCTAGATTTCAAAGAATTCATTAGTCCTTTTTCTTTAGTTTTCATTGACCTTGATAGCTGGATGTACTTCATGTAGGTGATAGCTTTAATGAGTGAAAATAACTTTTAATTGATTCTACCTGCTGTGATGAAGAAGCAGAGCTTCCTGTGAGTTTCCATAAATTGAGCACAGTTTCTTGTAGGATGGTAGCAGTTGGGAGTTTCTTTGAAGAATTATATCAAATAGCTGCGTATCCATGAAAATCAAGTACTGGGTTTCTTCATTTTTTTCCCTATTTCAATCTTTGTCACTTTTATATTCATGTCTTTAATTTCCTATGAGTGATTGCTTCTTCCTGTATACATAAGTATGAATACACACACACACACACACAATGTTGAATTCATCTCAGAACCATTGTCATTTACATAAGGTAAGAATTCCAGGGGTGGTAAAATACTGAAATGTAGTTATAATCTATTTCCATAAGCTTTTATTGATTTCCTAGATGATGCCTGAATGGCTTATTTTGGACTCTTATTTGGTAGGAAAAGTTCAGGGATTTTTGTGTTGTTGCTATGCTCCTTTTGAATTTATGATCTTTTATTACTTTCTTAATGTAAGTAGTAAGTATTTAGCCTTTCTTTTGGGGTAGGGGCAGCGCTGTTAACCTGGTATTTTTGCAGCTACTGAAGAGCTAAATAGTTGCAAATGAGTTATAATTTGCAAGCTGTGTCAGAAGGGCATGTTTTAGATCAGAGACTGGTTGAATTTGGGACTCATCTGTAATGGTGGTAGCTACCTTACAGTGATCTCTTGAGGGAACAGTGGTTTCGGTTTTCTGCCCCTCTCATAGGAATCCTTGGCTTTCCTTCTCTGATCTTAACTGAACTTGAGGAGGCCTCAGGAAGATCAGTCAGGTTTTGAGACTCAAAAATAGAAGGAAATGGAATCATATGTGGCATTGACCCTTTTTTCTCTCAAAAAAGTTTTATGTGAGTCTAAATCTGTGAGGATTGTGATCATATAAGCTGGATCTCTTACTTTTAGAAAGTAAAAACTTTTCTTAACGTGGAATTATAAAACTTAATCATTCTTTTTCTTCAGAAGCGAGGACTGCCTCCGCCTTTCATATTGATGTGTGCATTATTTATGGCTACAAGTCATTTTTCATTGTTTGTAAAGAAATGTGATAGGATGTCCTGTGGAATTTATCTTATAGGCCTTGATCCACTAAGCAGATGAAGCACGACAACACTGGGAAGTTAACATAAAGTCAAGTGTTCTGTTAAATAATACCACAGGAAAGTCGCCTACTTTGTTTGGAAGTAAACATTGAGAAGGATGGGGTGGTTTCATTTTTCCTTTTTTGCATTGTTTGTGTGTTATTATTTCACCAAAATACCATATCTCTGGTTTAAAAATGCATTTGACAAAAAACAAACAAGTAAACAAACTCATGTTTCTTTCCATGGATCGCTTCTTCTGGAGTTCAAACTTTCATTGGCACTTAAGCTCCCACATTGAGAGAAGCTCCCATTGATTATAGAGGGTTTCAGTGGGATTCTTACTACTTTGTGATATTAGGAGGTTGGTAATGTTGGGCATTGGTCATGCTACTTGGCAGTAATTTTTATAAGCCTTGCTCTCTGTAAGCACATGCTTGAGTCCTGTTTTTTGTTGGAGCTGTGGTGAAGTAAGCTTTGTCAGTAATCAAGTTTGCTGGTGTAATAAGGGACACTGTGGTCTAACCAGTGTACCTCAGTTGTCTTCCAGTATCAAAATGGTACTCTTGATGCCTTCTGATGTGCTGTGTCTACCTCTGGGGAGGCACCCTCCACTCCCCTCTTATTTACTGTGTGCACATGTGCAAACAGGGTGATCTTCAGTTGATTTTTCAGTAGACTGGTTCTATTATATAAATTTTGCTTCCTAAGACTGTAGGCTCTCTTGTGCTAGAGAAGGCTCGTGTTTCCCAGTAGTCCATACCAGCTATGCTGACTTCTTATTACCTTGGTATGTCAACATAAAGAACAAAGTTAAAATTTCCCTGTCAGTAGGCAAATATTCATGAACATGTATATATATATATATAAAAAAAGACTCAAGTGCAGAATGATTATGTGAAGATGGCAGCATTTAACTTGTGTTGGAATTTGGCCACATAAACTTCAGAAATAACAAATGCTTCTGGTTTAGAATGGCAGTAAGTTTTTTTCCTCAAAAAAATGGTCAAGTTTAACTAATTTAAAAGAAAAAGTCCCATAAATCTATATAGGGCTTAATTTAAACAAGGACTTCTTTATTTCTTATATAATTACCTGTGCTTAACTACATTTTCTTCCTTTTCTTTACTATATTTCAGCACAAAGACATTAGCAGGCTGCTGGTTTCATGGACCTGTACCACAATGACAGAGAACATCAGAGCATCAGGACTGAATGAAATTGGAGATTTTTAAAGCTGCACTAAGAAGTAAATGTTAAGGCAGTGGTTAAACCCAAAAGTCTATAAAGGGGCACTTGCATTATAATAAACTGAAGAAAAGGTATTAGGGAATATTTTCTAAAACTACTGCAATAAATTATGCATGAGATGAGGAGAAAGTGATGTGAATACACGTAAGAACTCACTTGAATCTTACATATGGAGAATCACTGACAATAACTTCCTTAGAATGTGAAGTTCTTATCAGTACAGTCTGGACAGGCCTAAAGGGCACGGGATGATGTAGAAATGCTGAATTATTTTTCATACCTAAACTTCGTGCTTGCTCCAAGGCTTATGTTAATCAGTTCAGATATGAGCAATGGTATTTCTAGAATGGTTCTTATGAAACAGCAATAGTCTCGTGCTAAGGCCAATGTCTCCTTCAGGGTGCCAGTGGAAACAAGAGGAAAGATTATCTAACATCCCTCTGGAGGGATGGCAAAGTGCCCCACTCCACAAACAAATTTGGATCATTTCTTTCTTTAATAAAGCAGGGCTGTATTATCTTGAATACATGTTTGCTTGTTAGAACATATTAAGGTGTATTTATTTGCCACTAGTATTTAACATTTTGTGCACATTTTCATAACTACATGCTTATCTTTTCATATTTTGACTCCAAGTGGATAGTCTAGTGTTGACCTTGGAGTGAAAATGTATACTCCAAGAGCTAGTTCTTAATTTACTGAGCTGGAAAAAGTTTTATTCTTGTCTCTGTCCTTATTGATTTTATCTTGTTCAGAAGAGGTAACAACATCTGAATTTTGATGTAGACCTCTTTACAGAGAGCCCCTCCATCTAATTGCAAGAAATTCTCACAGGTGTCAGGTAGGACTTGGCCCTGGGGGATGAGTGGCCAGAAGAGATCCATAAAGATAGCTTGAACTTTCTGTGCATGGAACACGAATTCTTAGTAGAGACCATAATTTCTTTCTTTGATAAGTACATATTATGAAAAACTTTAATTTTTCTTTTTTAATGAATGGAGAAAACATGAGAAAATCAGATGGACCTGTTAGTACTACATTTTTAAGGCATTTTATATTTGATGGTGCCGTACTTTTAATAAAAAAAACTGAAGTTTTTTAGTGGCAATACTGATTTATTTTTTAAATCAGAAAGATTATTCCATATTGGTTACTTGTTTAAAAAAAAAAAAAAGAAAGAAAAAAAATGCCAAAAAAAAAAAAAAAAAAAAAAAACCCACAAATTCATTTGAAGCAACATAATAGATAGCTGAGCACTTGGCTCAGGTGTTCTAACTTTCCGTGATCTTACTGTATAGGTTTGGAATTACCTAATGACCACATGCTCAGGATTGATAAAATGTTCTAGGTGAAAGTTTTAGAATATTTAATTTATCTGACTGATTGTTTTTTACAACTCAAGAAAACATGCAGTCTTGAGCCTTGTGAGCTTAATACAAATCCTAATTACATTGCAAGTAATTAAAAGTGTTGACTGCATCCTACAGTTGTCTTTTTGGAAGATTCAGTATTATGAAGTCATTATATATCTTATCAAATTGGAAAAAGTCAGCTCAGGAACTATAGCAGCAGGAAATTCTAAAGATGACAGGTACTATCAGGTGCCCTACTCTAGATGGCCCAAGGGTGATGGCATGGGTCATCTTGGCCTTTCAGATACCTAACACCAGCAGTACCTTTTAGGCTCATTTCAAGAACCAGATGACTCCCAAGCCTTGGTGGGATTACACGTGGATTGTATAATGAGGATTTTAAACTAAGCTTTAGGATTCTTTGTGTAGAGTAATGGGAATGACCAAGAAGTAATAATATAAAGGCAAAATAAATGGGAGAGATCGAGTTTTAAGTATCTAAATATTTTTTCTCATAATAAATTCTCAAAGATGTTTTGTTGCAAACTAGATTTTCATTTTTTAAAAAATGAAACTTGGTGGTATTTAAAATCTAGACCATGTTGTGACATCACTTATATTGCTTTAGTTGCTTAATATTTAAGCTTTGCTTCATGCTACCTTTTGTCTGTATTTCAAATCTTCACAAGCCTATTTCATTTTGTAGACTTGAATGACAAAAATTGTTTCTCATCTTAAGTATGCTCAGAGTTAAATGTTGAAGAATGTTGTGTAACACTTATCCAATAAAGTCTTTGATTTTTTTAAAATTTAGTTATTTAAAAACTTTTACTTTGTAGGGGTTAGTTTTTTTTTTAAGAGTTAGTTTTACAGGATTATCATTTTTATCTATTGAAATTCAGTCATTCTTTGTACTTCAGGAAGCTGTTCAGCAATATTTCTTTTTTTGTTCTTTTTTTTTTTTTTTTTGATATTGGGGATTGAACCTAACAGTGCTTTACCAACTAAGCTACATTCCCAGCCCTTTTTATTTTGAGACAGGCCTCATTAAATTGCTGAGGGCCTTGCTTGCTAAGTTGCTGAGGCTGGTCTTGAACTTTTGATCCCCCTGCCTCTGCCTCCAAGCCACTGGGAGTTCAGATAAGTGCCACAGTGCCCAGCATATAGGGTAGCAACATACTTAAGAACATACTTAAGAACAGTCTGAGGCTTCTGATCACTAGGAGACTTCATGGAGTTCTTTATAACTAAGGATAAGGAAGGTGAAATAGTTTAGTTAGGACCCTGTGTACAATTCAACTACTTTTTTGATGGAAATAACATATCCTTCTGAGTTGGATATAATTAGACAGCCACTGAGGTTTGTCTGGTTTTGTTGTAACATTAAGGCATCCTAACCTCATGATGAATGGCTGCTTCTTTAAAAGCCCACCATATCCGACAGGAGGTCAAACATTTGATTTGAGAACCTGAAACACTTAGTTGTTAGGGAAAAAAGTAGCCTTTTCAAATCCACCAGACAAGTGAGATTTTTCAGGACTGACCCAGAATCTTAGGTCAGTATGTCCTGCCCACCCTTTTTCCATTTCTGTAAAACAATCCTTTAGAAGGCTGTTATTCCAGAGTATACATAGTAATCTTTCCTCTCATTCTCCCATTTCAGTTTATCTAAAGGAGTATAAAAAGGAGGCCACTGGAATCTGCTCTGTTAATACCCTTTTTCTCAAGTTTCTCACTAACAAAAATGGAACTAGAGACAACAAGAGAAGTTAAGCCACATGCTTGCTTACCAGGGAAGGCCTACCTGAGACCATTCCTGAGCAGGTACATGTGTGTAGGGATAGACACCTCCTACAAGGTACAGGGAACAAGCGAGGAAACACATGGTACAACCTGAAATATTGATGTTGGTCTTTAGATAAAGAAGTGTAACTTCTGAGCCATACCTTGGAATCATGTATAGGTCACAAAAGTTCCTTCCTGTCATGGCAAATATTTTAGATAAAAATAAGCTGTTTTCTTATTTTTATATCCAATACCTCATTTTTTCCTGTTTCATTTAGTGTTTATTAAGCACACTTTTATTTAGTGATGAGTGTTCTGCCAAATCTCTGCTTATTCAGAATGACAGTTTATGGCCTTAACATTAATGACTCCTCCTTTGCTTTGGTGTTCAGAAGGTAATGAATTGGGTGAAAGAGATGATGATTCAGGAATACTGTGCCAGAGGAAGAACTGGCCAGGTCAGTGACTGGGTCATTAAAAGTTGAGAATACTTCTAGGATTAGCCCATTCCTTATTTCCTTGTGAGGCAAGTTTGTAGAAACAATTTTCTGAAGTAAAGGAGGGACGGCAAATTTGTGATATGAAAGGGTCCTTTTATCAGTGACTTTCCTGGCCACAAAGTCACACGGAACTTACTGGCCAGAATTGGGTGTGGAAGTTCAGTCTCACCAACCAAGCTCTTCAGTTCCTATTCAGTCAAGGCTCAAGATGCTGGGGAGACATCAGGGAATTTTGTAGTTATGTGAACTACGTTCAGTATTTTAACTGCTGCAGATCCTGAGAAGACAGCTCAAATTTTCCAAGTAAGGTACACTATAACATCAGTGTGAAGTGTCACAAGGAAAAAGGGTAGTGTGACAGTTATTACCCCAGAAAAAGCATGCTCAGGCCTTCAGTGAGACAGCAATGGCTGTGATCTTTCACATGCTTGAATGTTAGACCTGCAGAAAACAAGGCAGGCAGAAAAGCTTTGCAGGAACTGTTTTCTCTGCTGCCAACTTCACCAATGGCAGAATCCAGCTTAAGTGTCACACTGCCCTAGAAAACTGTCAGGCCTTTTCTCCCAATCAAGTGCATGAGGCAAAGCTGTAAATGGCATACTATTTTGGAGCAGTCAGAACACCCCTACAAAACAGCTTGATGTGCCACATCATGGCCTCCCCAAACCTCCCCCCTTCAGTGTTTAAATACTGCTTTCCTTACCTCGCTCTGTTCCCTCACTTGTCACCCTGGGGGCTCCTGTAGCTCCCTGAACAGTTTTGGGCTTAGAATTTCTGACTGACTGGAAGCTGCATGCTTGTGTGCTGGGGTGGCATGTGGCAGCTGCTGTGTGAACCAGATGGACATCTGGTGGCCAGCAGTCTGGCATTCCACCCCACGCAAGACAGTAAGACTCTAGGATCTCTGGGTCCAGCTCTTCATTTGGAACCCAAAAGACATGTTCCCTTCACCTCCATCATACTGACAGGCCGCTAAGCCCCAGTGCCTGGTGACAGTTCCCATTTTGTCAGGTCATACTCTAGTGAGAACTAGCACAGGGACTAATAGGAACAAAGACTAGCTGACACTGACTGAGTCACTGCCACAAATTAGTACCGTGGGCTGCCATGGCAGTGAGGCAGCAGGTCCTGCTGTCCCATAAGCAGGAAATGTGAGCTGCTTATTTCCCCTGGAGTGAAGGGAAAAAGAAAGGAAGCCTTGGTCTGGCGGGTGGAACTTTGTATGACGGAGCTTTACTTCCAGCTTGCAGATCTCAGGGGGGTTGGAAAATAGAACATTTTATTTTTTAATTATAGAAAATCTAAATGTATTAAACAAAACAAAAAAACTAACCCACTGTGTTCCCATCCCTAGCTTTGACAAGTACCAACTTGTGGTGAGGAAGATGGAATTTTTGTTGTGGCACTGGGGATTGAACCCAGGGCACTATACCACTGAGCTACACCCCCAGCCCTTTTGTAAGCAGGGTCTTGTTAAATTGCCCAGGCTGGCCTCAAACTTGCTGTCCTGCCTGCCTTGAAGATTGAAATTTTTGATGCTTTGAAATATAAAAACTGGGACATACTCACTAGTTTTCATACAATAGCTTTCTCTTTCTTTGCCCCTTGAATGGTTTTAAGCAGTCTTTCGGATGCACTAAGCTTTGTTTAGCCCTGCCTCTTGGGCTGGCTGGTCCCAAGTAATCAATTTTTCATTACCAGGAGTATTAACAGACTCAGTCTGGTGTGGGCTCAAGACAGCTCTATACTCTGCAGAAGGAAGTGATGGGAAATGCTCACCTCTTTTCCCTCTACACCTCGCAACTGTATAGTTCACTGAAGGCACAGATCTTCCAGCCACTTCTGGTGGAATGTGCACAAACTTCCCTTTTCAAGGAAAGCCAAGTGATAGGATTCAGCTTGTCAGGCCTCGTACAGAGGCTGAAAAGGACTGCAAACATTGGTCAAGTACAGATAGGAGTTAATACAGAAAGAGTTCAAGGCCTTAAAAAATAAGGGAGGAGAGAGTAGGCAGGGAAGAGGGGAAGTGATCAGAGAGCAGAAGGAAGGGACATAGAGCCAGGGCTGGCAGTTGCCACTGGGCTGCAGACTCACAGGACGCATCTGAACTGGGACAGCTCCACTGAGTTTCAGCAGCTCCTTGGGCAGGCTTAGAAGAAAGCACTGTTAACAGGAAATGGAAAGGGCTTGTCACCGATCTGTGTGGATTCTCAGACTGCAGTCTAGTCTCGAGATTTTTTTGGACTCTTCCCTTTATCTTCCTCAAGGAAATTAAAGTCACCATTGACCTGCAAAGCTGTCTCAGCAGCCCTCTTTTTTGGTCTCCTATCATGGTCTTCCCCTTTAACATTCCAAGTCCTGCTAAGCTGGTTGCAGGGACAGGATTTGCAGGCCTGATTAGCTCTTAGGACCATACACCTGCAAAAATATATCTTTATTTTTTAATACCTATTGCCAGCTCTCTATGCCACTGTCGATTGGGACAGTAAGATGCCCCTAAAACAACCATGTCTGGTCTTCCTTAAATCCCCTATGTTCTAGCTTGCAGCTGTGTGACATGCTGCTCACCAGTGGTCTTGGAGGCCAGTTCAGACTCAAGGAGCAGCAGAAACAACCACAGGCCAGACAACATTTCCTAAAGCAGTTCCCCTACCTTTATCGACACCAGATGTAGTAAGGACAGCTTTGCATTGTGCCTATTGACTATCCGAGCAATTCTGCAGGGACAGCATGTGAAATCTGGCATTTTGCAGAATCTCAGATACAGGCCCAGTGGTGATGTGGCTAAGGTCATTAGCCAAGGAGGCTCAGCCACTCCCTAGCCTCTGCATCCGGACATGGTGTAGAGTTCTTCACTTAAAACTACAGTTACCTGTTAAGTGAGAAGATGTGGCATTGTAGGGGGAGAGGGATAAGGAGCAAAAGGTTAAAAACAAATACAACTGATCAAGCCAGCTGTGCTTGTGAGAGAAGGGAAGCACATGTGGCATGTTACAGAAGAGACTGGAATTTTTGTTTGTTCTGGGGATGAACCTAGGGGCACTTTACCTCTTAGGCTGGGCTTGAACTTGAGATCCTCCTGCCTCAGCTTTCTCAATTCTGGGATTACAGGTTTGTGCCACTGTATCTGGCGCAAAAAAAACACTTTTCAAAACAGGCACTGAATAAAGCACAAGAATCTGAAGAATTCTGCATATTGATGGTTGTCACATTGAGACCATGTCTTGTTCCAGTTCCAATAGACCAAGTTTCCAGTGGAATGTAGGTGCTGGTGCTAAGAGTATGGCCATTCCCTTCTAGGAACTCACTGTCTACTTAGCATGGCAGTAGACAGGGAAACACAGATCATAGTATTTATTTTATTTATTTTTTTTAAAGAGAGAGAGAGAGAGAATTTTTTAATATTTTATTTTTTAGTTTTCGGTGGACACAACATCTTTGTTTGTACGTGGTGCTGAGGATTGAACCCAGGCCGCACGCATGCCAGGTGAGCGCGCTACTGCTCGAGCCACATCCCCAGCCCCAGATCATAGTATTTTAAAGAATGTTTTATAGAGTCCTCAAAGCAATTCTAAAAGGAGATCCAAAGTTATTTTGATTTATTGCAATACTGTATGAATAAGAATATATACCATGCTACAGTGTGATGACCTTAGGAGTAAACTCTGGAGGCTGAGGGTACAGCTCTGCGATAGAGCATGTGCTTAGCACGTGTGAGGCCCTGGGTTCAGTCCCCAGCACCAGAAAAAGTGAACTCTGCTCTACCTTTTTTGGTTGGGCATCACAGAATGTTAAAATCATACATTTTAGCAGAATAGGCAAATATAGGCACCTTCTTCCCTATTTTTGCATTCTTTCACAACTTTTTTATGGTCAAGCATTTTCTTCTAGATTTCGGAAGCAGGTAGGTGCTGGACAAAAACCGCCTTGGCTTGAGCAAACTCACACCTATTGAGATCCCTTCCTTTTCTTTCCAGATGCACTGCCTGGCCCACTCCCTGGAAGCCTGCAAGGTTGGCTTGGCCTGGCACTCAAAGATTTCAGTGTGGTGGTGGAGGGAGCTTGCCTAAGAGCAAGGCCTCCACACCCTGAGGCAATGGCAGGCCCTGGCATCTCTTAACTAAGCAAACTGTCCATTTCCTGCTCATTGGAGGTAGGGATGGTCTTTCAGTAGTCTCCACCATCTAGCTCCAAAGTCCTAGTAATCACAAAGCAATTCTCAAAATGCAGTTCAAGGTTCCCGAGGCATTCCTGAGACCCTCTCAGGTGCCCGTGGGGTCAAAACTATCTTTGTAATGTTGGGGGTTATGTGCTCTCTTCACTGTCAATCTGTCATGAGCATGAGGTAGACTTTTCCCACATGACATGTGATAGTATGACACACTGAGCACAGAAGCAGACGAGAGAATCCTGCTGGCTGTCAGTCAAGAGGCTTGCACAAGTGCAAGATGTCATTACTTCTCACTAAAACATGCTTCGGAAGATATTTTTAATATTTTTCATGTTAACACAAAATGTTATTTTTCAAGGAATTAACTAAATATTTTAAAATTATTTTAATTTGTAGTTGTAGAATTCAGAACACATTAAAATAGATAGAATTCACAAAATGGAAAGTACTGTTTAAATGTTTTCCCTTTCTTTTGCTGTCCTGGGAACTGAATCCAGGACCTAGTGCATGCTAGAAACACACTCTACCACTGAACTACCACCTTAGCCCTTCAATTTTTCAAGATTGTGAAGGAGTCTACATCCCCTCCCGCCCTGTCTATAGCATCCTCTACTGGGGCTTCTGCAGCCAGCAGGACCCACCTGCACAGTCCTTGGTGCATGCCACTTAGAGTCCCCACATGAACCTATACGTCCCACCTGTGCACTCAAATAAGAGTGTGAAAACTTTTCCCCAGCACCAACAGATGACTAGGAAAATCATCTCTCCTGCAAACCTTTGGTGTCACATGTCTGAAAGAATATGGTTTAGTTCTGGGATCTGCACACGACCATTCCTGAATGAAGCTATTTTAAATTGAAATTACAATGAAGGCTTGGTCAAAACCACTGATTTCATAATCATCTGCACAAACCTGAAGGGGCCCAAGACAGCTCCTGAGGTGGAACTTCTGAATTCTAGTTCACAGGATGGTCATCTCTTCAAGATAAATCTTCAAGGCAGCAACTATAACTTTGGCAGATTTGTGGAATTTGGAATCAGCCATGCTGCCTGAAACCAACACTACTGCCCAAAGCCAGTGGACTTTAGCTGTTGAGAAGGGGACAAAATCACAACCCAGTCCAGACCACCAAAGAAAGCTTTTATTATTACAGAGGAAACCAGGGAATCCTGGAGACCCTGCACAGCAGCCAGGAGCTGTGTGATCAGGGAGGGGCAGCAGACTCCAGGGACCCCGAGGAGGCTGTCAATCACATCCAGGCAGTCTCCCAGACCACAGGTCTGCTAGGCTAGTGGGTTTGTGTGGCTCAGGGAAGTCAGCCTTGCCAAGCAGACTTCCTCCTGGACAAAGGACAGTCAACCAGGGACAACAGCTGCACAGACACCACCTTAAAATGAAATTAAATGAGGCTCATTGCATTAGAAGTACCTTCCACTCTGACCATGAAACAAGAGTGAAGAGGTGGCTCTAGGCTCTACTGGTAGCCTTTTGGACTAGCTTAGATTAAGATGCTTTTGAAAATTAAATATTGGCAGGGCCTTGCCCCTTGCGAACAGCAAGCAGCACACAATTTCCAAGTCAGGTTTTAAAGCTATTGTTATCTTTGTTATCTATTATTATTTGGATTCTGAACAAAATTGATGGAGTAGGAGCCAGTAGAGGAATCTTGTTTGATCTGGAAATTTTCTGTGGAGAGCCCAAAAGGTCGGAGAACCAAGTTCCCAAGATCTTTTAGTTTACCTGCAATGGAAAAGCAAAAACACAAATAAATACAGGAGCCAAGAGAAGTGGGACGATACCAACAGATCTTGCCTTCCTGACTGATCATAAAATACATAGTACCTCTGTGCAGTTAAAGAAATGCCTGCTTTTAAATAATATGAGAACTTCTAGGCCAGTTCTACTTTGAAGGCTGTGGTGCCCATCTGAGTGAGGCAGTCTTGCTGGTTTCCTCCTGGGAGATCAGAGGTTCGTGTCACACTGGCCAGAACTACCCAAGGACACAGGCTTCCAGGATGCATGCTGGGAAATCAGCTGCTGCTCCCAGTGCAGTGGGGTGAAGGCACCCCAAGCCTTGCCTGCTGGTGGTGTGCCCAGAGGTCCCTCCACATGTGGCCTCTCCAAGCAGAAGCAGACAGTAAATTTCATTTAACTCAACAGATTTCTACTGAGCCTGCATTTGAACTCAAAACCCCCATTTTTCTAAGCACATCTTTAGCTTCTGCACAAGTACGGCATTTCTTGGGAAATGAGACCTTGTTCATCTGCCCAGTGCTCCAGGGTCTTCTTCCCACCTGGGTGATCTTGGGGCATGAAACCAAAACCGAGACACGTGATTCAACCAAGGATTCTTATGCTGTCTTATGATATAAAAAAAGGACCATGAGAAAAAGAAGAAAGGGGGCTATGTAGTTTGTATATCAGGACATTCCAGAGATGGATGGGGATCTGTGGGGCAGTGGGAGGATTATTTAAAATTAGGAGTGTTCTTAGAAAGTCCTGGTTGGGATGGTGAATAAAAAGTTGCAATTCTTCCTAAACTGTTGTAAATTTTTTTGCAGATCTGTTTTCAAAGGAGGTTAGAATAGGGGTAGATGAGGAGAGACGCCTCTAACCTTTAGAGGCACAGGCTCCTTGTCACTCTTTGCGTACACCCCCCCATCCTTAGAGTAAAGCCCAGGAAAATATTTAAAGACGCAGGACCTTTATTTTTATTCTCACTCCCCGGCCCCCGCACTGGGGGCTGAACCTCATGTGCATACTAGGCAACACTCTACCACTGAGCTAAATCTCATTTCTGGTCTTTAAATCTGAAAAGTCTTCCTAGTAACTCATCACAGAAGCGAACTGAGTTCAGAGAAAGATCAGCCATTATTGTAGAAAACTTCTGGAGCCTAGGAAGGCCATTTTCTACCAGGCAGGCTTCCCAAACTTAATCCTGTGGCACACATGGGCTGCTGGTTTAAGAGAATCCTCAGCAAAAGCCTGGGGTGGCCTATAGACAGGAGCAGCACAGAGGCCAGGAGCACAGCCTCAGGTAACGGGCAAGGGATCACAACAAGCAAAGACAAGCCTGACATCCTGAAGGAAACCTGTTAGCAATGCAATCCCAGAATTTGCCAGTTTGGCTGGGCCTGGTGGTGCACATCGGTAATCCCAGTGGTTCAGGAGGCTGAGGCAGGAGGACTGCAAGTTCAAAGCCAGCCTCAGCAACTTAGTGAGGTTCTAAGCAACTTAGCAAGAGGCTGGGGATGTGGCTCTACGGTTAAGCACCACTGGGTTCAATGCTTAGTTTAAAAAAAAAAAAAGTCCACTCCAAAACCATTTAAAGAAACCCAGTAAACTGGGTGTGATGGCACACACTTTATTTCCAGCTACTCAGTAGGCAGAGGCAGGAGGATCAAAAATTTAAGGCCAGGTTGGGCAATGTGGTGAGACTCTGTCTGAAAGTGCTTGGGTACAGCACTTGCTTAACATGTGTGAGGCCCTGGGTTCAATTCCTAGTGCCACGAAAAACAAAAAACCCAACAACAGTAAAATATCCCCTCTGCAACAGCAACCACCCTTGGCTCTGTGACATGGAGCAAATGACGTGAGAGTAAGTGTCAAGAGTTACAATAGACTTCCCAGGAGGGGAAGCTCCATCTTGGAGAAGCCTGTTCAAAGTCCACCTTGGACTGTCTGGACATGGGCCATTCCCTCGATGGAGGGACCACTGCAAGCTCATCTCCCATTCCAGAAAAACAACTTACATTATAAGCTGTGTATCTTTTTTGGTGTCTACTGTGTAAGGCACAAGTGTCTAAAGAAAAAAAGTAATTCCTGGCTTCTGAGATGCCCAAAGTCTAGTGGGGAGAGACACAAAAAACTGAGGGGTGCCCAAAGGAGGCACTCACACAACCTGCTGCAAAGTGAGGAAGCCCTGCCAGGAGAGGCCACGAGCCACCGGGCTCTGAAGGCTGGCGACCAAGTCCAGGATAAAGGCTTGCTTCTAGGTCCACAGTGCAGTGTCCCCTGGAAGCAGTGGCTTGGCTCAGGCTGGTCTACACTAAAGAAATGTTCCCTTTGAGTACACAGAGACTGTTCCTAGCTAAGAGTCCACGTGTTCAAACAGCAGGTGGAGGGCAAATCTTCTTTCCTAGTTCCTCACTTTGCCCGCTAGCTGAAGGGCCTGTCTGCACAAGGAACCTTTCAACTTTCAGTATGGTTGATTCTATAGCCATGAAAACATGCTCCTCCAAATGCAGGGGACACAGCGGCTACTCTAAAATCCATCAGCACCTCATGCTAAGGTTGTCCTCCCACAGGCTGCCCAGGCCTGGTAGGGACCAGGGACTCCTCCGACGGACACAACGCTGGCTCCCTGATGGCCTTGCTGAAACTGAGGTGCAGACTCTGCCCTTCCCCCTCCACGGGGTCTGGGGGCTCTCCCAGCCTCCTCCCACTGCAGCCCCATCTCCCTCACAGGTGTGTCACCAACAAGCTCCTGTCCTTCTGATTTTATCTTGACTTCTGTTTTTTCGGAGGAGCTAGCCTAACACACAGCATCAGTCTTTCCCTTCTAGTCCAGTATGGCCGCCTCTTCACATCCCACAATTAGTCTCACCTACTCTCACTCCCAGAACAGAACGTGAAATGGGACATTCCGCTTGCTAAATGACACAAGGTATGCAAAGTGCCTGGCAGACAGAGACACCTAAGAGACACAGGATGACACAGTCTCCACAGGAGAAAAGACCTGAGTTCACCTGACTTGAATTAATCCATCCAATGACACCATGTGTGCACGTGGCTCTGTGCTGCGTGTCGTGGGGAGGTAAAGATGCCTGAGATGGCCTGCACAGCCCAGCTTGATGGGGAGAAGACACAGACATACACATAACGCAAGTTCGTCCATGGTTCAGCTATTAAGTGCTAGGAGACTTGAGAAGAGGAAGATGCCTTCCAGCTTAGGCAGGGAAAGAATGAGACAATGGAAGTCTTATCCCATCTTTGTGTGATAGTTTGATGGTAACCAGGCGCCAAAGGGCAGGCGAGATGCAACCACCTGAGATGGGCAGGCAGGAGGGAGGCCCATCCTGCCGGGCTCTCCTGAGCCAGGCCAGGTGGCCTAGGGTTCTCACACCCCAGGAGGCCAATGACAGCTTGAAAATGGAGTTTTCAAAGTTAATAATCCTATGGTGAAATGAAGAATGGCCCAGAAAGGGAGGGCCTGGGGTGGTTCTAGCCGTCACAAAGTTAGGGCAGCATCATGGAAAAGAAGGCATTTATTTACAGACAAACATTTCTAGCATGCTGGATGGAAAGATTCTGAAACCAGAGTGTGGCCAGTGGAACAAATGGACAGAGCAAAACTGTACAGCAGAATCAACAAAGTGCTGATGTCTGAAAAACTCACGGATGCCTTGATGAAAGAAGGGAAGCAGCAGCCGTGAAAGCCACGCTCATACCATCATGCACAAAATTTCCTGCCTGCTGTTCAGAAACAGGCTAAGTGCTCAGAGACAAGAGCAGTTGCCATGTACCCCCAATAGGATCATTTATGACAGCAGCCTGTCTGCATAATTCTCACTGGCTATCAAATTCTGTGCCTCCCCTCTGGACAGCAATGAGTTAGGTGTCTTTGTTACGACTTGTAGCAATTCTGACACCTTTACTCAGCCACAGTATGTCAGCATGTGCCTATTAGGGTCAGACTTCTGCTCACGGCAAAGTGAAGAGTCCATAACTGTTTGTGCTCACAAGATTGTTTAGGACCAGAGACCACTGCTTGCCACTGGTTCTGATCAGTATGAAATTTCTCTCCCTCCAAACACCATTATATGATAACTGATTCATTATGTGTCATTTCTTTTTGGAGATACTGACTGTGCAAGAGGCAGTTTATCCTGAGGATATGCCATTTATTTTCATCTCCTTAAGACTACTGGGTTTGGGTATAATGGAATAGTTCCTGTGCAACTTTCTCCTTTTCTGAAGAACATACCTGCATACAAATGAATGCTCACACTGCACTTCCTTTGATAAGGCAGGAAACCATGGCATGCAGCTAACTCCTGCTTTCCTCGAGCCAAAGGCAAATCAGGAGAACACAGCACAAAGATAGAACTCCCACCCAATTCAAATTCTTTTATTAGCTTGGCTCTAGGGTATAAGTGGAGGCTGACATCAGCCTTACCAAGAACTGTCAAGGAAGCAGGAGCTTCTCTCTTGAGAAGAGAAACCCACAGCAACTAGGAAATGGAAAAACAAAACAAAACAAAACAAAACAAAAACCAGGGCACTGAAAATCGACTGATTATTTCCTACTGGGGGAACAAAGACAGCAACTACAAGAAACTGGGAGAGATTCACGTGGCCACAGTGCAAAATACTTACAGTAGATATAGAGTCTGTAACGAAGAACACTAAGCAGAGTACCCTGAGGAGAAACAGGAAAGGGGAAAAAAAGCCCAGCCTTCCATCCCCACACCTACGGCTCTAGCAGCTTCAAGATAGACGTAACAATTTAGTTTGCTTTGTGATCCTTAGGGAGCTGATTCTAGGACCTTCTACTACTTGAGGAGAGACATGTAAAGCACTAGGATACCCAGAAAAAGGTCTTGTATCCTTGCAGTGATAATGAACAATTATTTCAATCTCTATATGTAGTTCTCAAGTGTGGCACTCATACAAGATGGTATTTTTCCCAGTGCTGGGGACTGAATTCAGGTACTCGCACATGCCGGGCAAGAGCTCAACTAAGGGGCTATATCCCCAGATCAAGAGGGTATTCTCAATTCAGTTTGTACATATGCTCTCATTAGGTTGCTAGTGGCCAGGACCAAACAACTGGACAAGTTCAGCAATCAGGACACCAGAAATATGATCCAAGAAGGTGGAAGGAGGTGATGGCATGAGTGGAAAACGTGGGCTGGAATATGAACTAGGCCCAAGAGTGTGCCAGACTGGACAGGGCTTGGAAGCAGTAACATGAAAGGAAGGTGGGCTTACCAGCAATGCCCTCCCTGCCTTTGTGTCTTTGAGGGTGTAAATGAGTTTCATGTAGCTGCTCCAAGTGTTCAAGCTGGGGAGAGGTACCTGATAGCCCTTGGTTAAGGAAGGAGGGGCAGCATCATGAAATGGCTAAATACAAGCTGTCCATGCTATTGGGAAATATCCCAATGTCAGGCCCAGCATCAAAGGAAGCTTCGTATCCCCTGCACGCTCAGCAAATGGCAATGACCTTCAGCGAGCTGGCTCTTTTCCTTCAATGGTAACTGGTCCAAACAGACACCAAAACTGACACCTGGCAAGCAATGGCTTGCAGAGAAAGTTGTCTGAGTTCTTAAGTCTAGTGAACAGAAGAGCACACTTTCTAAAATGTCTGCTTTCTATTTTTTCTCTTCTGCTGCTGCAGCACGAGGAAGGGAAGATAAAAAGCAGTGACTGACCTGTTTCTGCTCAGGGGGTGACTCTAAGCTGAGCTGGACCACCTCCTGACCTCAACACTGTGTGGCCATACCCTACTCTGGCCTTCATCCCTCAACGGAACTGCCTCTACACCATCCTCCCTTACCCTTAAACTTGAGTGTGCATCAGAACATGTGAAGGGTTGCCAAAACAGACTGCTGGGCCCCGTCCCTCATTTCTGATTTAACAGGTCTATGGTAGGCCCCAAATTGTGCTGATCATTATTATTTATATCTCCAATACTGGGGATTGGAACTAGTCCTCTACCACTGAGCCATACACTAGCCTTTTTTTCTTGAGACAGAGTCTTGCTAATTTGCAGAAGTTGGCTTTAAAATTTTGATTTTTCTGCCATTACAGGTATGCCCTCTGCCCCTGACAAAATTGTGCATTGGGGGGGCGGGGTGTAGTACTGGGGATTGAATTCAGGGGCACTTGACCACTGAGCCACATCCCCAGCCCTATTTTGTATTTTATTTTGGGACAGGGCCTCACTGAGTTGCTTAGAGCCTCGTTTTTGCTGAGATGGTGAACTCACGATCCTCTTGCCTTAACCTCCCCAGCTGCTAGAATTACAGGTGTACACCACCGCACCTAGCAAAAACTGTGCATTTTTGACCACTTGAGTGATAATGATCTGGGTACATTTTGGGAACCAGCTCCAAAAGATAACCTGCTTTTATAGTTAGTGACTAGAATATTGATGAGAAGCCTGATTGAAAGACTGACCTATCCATCTCCAACTGTAACACCTATTTTTAGTGATTAGAGAGAAAATCACTTTAGCAGAGATTTCCTCTTACACTGTGTAAAAAAAGCTAAGCCCATGGAGCCTATGTGACTTTTGCGAGAAGGTAGACGACTTGATGACTCAGAATACAGGAAATCAAGAAGAACCACAAACATATACATATAGTACTTCACAATTCCACTTGCTTGACAGATTTCTAGGCTGGGTTGGCATACAGGACAAACAAATCTGCAATGTCAATGACAATGTCTCTGCCCCACATTCTTTTCTACTTGTGATCAAAGCTAACCACAGACCCATGTTAGCATCATCATTTGGTCTCCAAGCACACACCACTTACACTCCCAGTGTAACTGCCAACAAGGCTGCTGTCCCTGCGTGTGGAAGTGGCCCTGAGGCGCTCCCCCTGCGGGTCACCCAGGTATGTGTGAAGTACTCCCAAATGCAGAGTAGCAGTGCTAGGAGCTTGGCCTTCGTGTCCTACAGTTGAGCCTCAAGGACCGTGAAAGTATCTGGTCACTCACTTACATTTTAATTTTATTTTTATTTATTAATTAATTTTTTTTTTAGTTATAGATGGGCACAATACCTTTATGTGGTGCTGAGGGTTGATCCCAGTGCTTCATGTGTGTGAGGTGAGTGCTCTACCACTGAGCTCCAGCCCCTCACTTACATTTTTAAGTGTTTACTATTTATATATATATGTGAGCAATTTTTTTAACATTGTAAAATTAAAACAAAAAAATGAAGACATAGATACTCATAAAGGCTCTGCCTTCAAATCCTTTTGTTTTTCAAATTCACCTAATTGTAAATGCTACACAGGATCCCCCCTTATCTGCAGGGGATACTTTTAAGATCCTCAGTGGATGCATGAAATCTCAGATTCCTACATGTATTTCTTGTACATACATACCTGCGATAAAGTTTAATTTACAAATTATACATAGTAAGAAATTAACAGCATAAAACAATCCTAATAATACACTGTAATAAACGTTATATGAAAGTAGTCTCTATTTCTGAAATTATCAATTAATATTTTTAGACCAGGGAAACAAAAACTGAGGAAAGCAAAACCTTGGATAAGACAGGACTACTGCACATTTGGATCTAAACATTCATGCAAATAAAATGCCATCTTTCTATATTGTACTTTCACATAAGCTTTTCTTTCTCTCTCTTTTTTTATTTTTATTTTTTGGTGCTGTGACTGAACCCAGGGGCACTTTACAACTGAGCCACTTCCCCAAGTCTTGCTAAATTGCCCAGCACAACTTTGAACTGGGGATCTTCCTGCCTTATCCTCCTTAGCAGCTGAGATTACATGTGTGCACCTATGGGCCCAGCCTTGCTCACAATGTCTCAGAATGTCTAAGCAAGTGATATTAATCTGTGCTCAGACAGTCTAACCTCCAGGGATTTCACAGCACATGATTCAGTCATCTCTTCTATCACAAGGAGAAAGAACACCAAAAAGATTCTGTGGGTTGAAATTCCACAATGAAATAATTTCTCTCTTCCAGGTTATCTTTGGTGGGTTAACAAAGTGGAAGCAACACTTTATCCACAATCCTTACATTTACTAACAAGAGAGTCTAGTCATTCAAACTACTGATGTGTAACACATTATTTATCAACCAAGTTATGCTGCTTAAGTCTTCATTATAGAAGAATCGAGTACAGAATTAAATTTGAGCACCTGTTTTATTTGCAGAACTGGGGATTGAACCCAGGGCTACACATGCTAGGCAAGCAGTTTATCACTGAAGAACACCTCCTAACCCAATTAGAGTACTTCACAGAGGTAATGATACAAGAAAAAGCCAAAGTCATGAGGATAGGAAACTTTTGCTAATTAGAATTTATAGTGACAGATGGGAGTTTTGATTCCATCTGGGACTAACAATGGGCAGGAAGATTCAGTTTGTATAGTCCCTTTATGGTTTTGGATTGGCTCAGAAAAATGGACCTAAGGCATTTCTGTTTTGCTTAACAGAAATGTCTATTCCAAGTCCACTACTGCCATTTAAAAAGTCATCTTTCAGCCCAAGATTCAGTTCAGCTAAACACATTTTTTTCTGATTAAAATAGAGCATCATTGTTAAGTAGACTAGGCGAGAAAATATTTTTTTCCTCCTTTGAAAAAAGTACCTCTAAAGTAATTTTTTATGCTCAAAGATGGTGTCAAGTTTAATAAAATATGTAAATTAGGTAAATAGCCTTTTTTGGAAAACCTGGGGATGGTTCCAGAAATACCCTAAATCTGAAGGAGCTTTCCTTGGAGTCTTGAATCTACCTGGCAGGGGCCAGAAGGCTCTGGGTGGACTAGGTTAAAAGCTTTCTCTAAATCAATTCTGCTGTTAGAGTGATCCTTTGGGAAATCTGTGCTCATTCTCTGGATATTGATGCCAAGTCATTAATGGCCAGGCTCAGTGTATTTTAAATTATTTTTCCTCTAGCCCATGTGACTGCAATATATTAAATGCAATTCATGAAAGAGATTTAGAACATATTTATATAAGAACATACAGCAGATCTTGCACAGGGAAATATCAGATAGGTTTAACAAATGTAAGGTCTTGGTTTAGGAAGCCCCAATCCTCTTAGTCAAGCCGGAGAGGTTCTCTGATTCCAACTGTAAATGCTTTGACAAATAAGGGAAGTAACTAAATAACGGGTCAAATGTGTCCATTTATCCGACTCTCAACACCACTCTTTTTTCCTTTACTATTTACGCACAATTCCTGCCCTCTCATGTCTTCTCAAACATTAAATCTGTCTTTTTTTTTTTTGGCACTGCTGGGGATTGAACTCACGGCCTCACACATGTTAAGCAAGCCACTTCCCCAGCCCCTTCACTGCTGTTTTTGAAACAAAAATTCCCTTGATTCTGACATTATTGACTGTATTCCAATGAAGGGGTGATTACTCAACGAAGAAACTTAATTGTTTTTATGAAATTAATATGGGAAACAGAGGCTGGTGGTGTTCCATGTTGGGAACTAGATTATGTTTGCATTCTTGAGGGAAGAAAATTTTTCAAGAAAAACAAAATGGAAATTTGGTTTCTGAAAATGCTGGTATCCTTTCTAAACCATGATGCTCTTTTTGGAGTCAAAAATGGCTAAGAAGTCAAGAGAGAGTAAGAGTAAGAAAGCAAACTTACCTAACATCTCTTCTTTTAGTCTTTCATTACGTTCTTCAATTTGCTTAGGTAATCTCTGAGGAAAAAAAAGAAACAAGAGTTGGTGAAAAATCCTTTGGCTTCAATGCAATTCCTATCAAAATCCCAATGACATTCCTTGCAGAAATAGAAAAAGCAATCATGAAATTCATCTGGAAAAATAAGAGACCCAGAATAGCTAAAGTAATTCTAAGCAGGAAGAGTGAAATTGGTGGTATCGTGATTCCAGATTTTAAACTATACTATAGAGCAATAGTAACAAAAACAGCATGGTACTGGCACCAAAATAGGCTGGTAGACCAATGGTACAAAATAGAGGACACAGAGACAAATCCACAAAATTACAACTATCTTATATTAGACAAAGGTGCTAAAACCATGCAATGGAGAAAGGATAGCATCTTCAACAAGTGGTGCTGGGAGAACTGGAAATCCATATGCAACAAAATGAAATTGAATCCCTTTCTCTCACCATGCACAAAAGTCAACTCAAAATGGATCAAGGAGCTAGGAATCAGACCAGAGACTCTGCGTCTAATAGAAGATAAAGTTGGCCCTAATCTTCATCACGTGGGGGCAGGCCCCAAATTTCTTAATAAGACACCTATCGCACAAGAGTTAAAACCAAGAATCAACAAATGGGACAAATTCAAACTAAAAAGTTTTTTCTCAGCAAGAGAAATAATATATGAGGTGAATAGGGAGCCTACATCCTGGGAACAAATTTTTACCCCCCAAACATCAGATAGAGCTCTAATCTCTAGAGTATACAAAGAACTCAAAAAGTTAAACAACAAAAAAAGCAAATAACCCAATCAACAAATGGGCCAAGGACTTGAACAGAAACTTCTCAGAAGAGGATATACAATCAATCAACAAATACATGAAAAAATGCTCACCATCTCTGGCAATCAGAGAAATGCAAATTAAAACTATTCTAAGATACCATCTCACTCCAATAAGAATGGCAGCCATTATGAAGTCAAATAACAATAAGTGCTGGCGAGGATGCGGGGGGGAAAAAGGTACACTCATACATTGCTGGTGGGACTGCAAATTGGTGCAGCCAATTTGGAAAGCAGTATGGAGATTCCTTGGAAAGCTGGGAATGGAACCACCATTTGACCCAGCTATTCCCCTTCTTGGACTATACCCAAAAGACCAAAAAAGAGCATACTACAGGGACACAGCCACATCAATGTTTATAGCAGCACAATTCCCAATAGCTAGAGTGTGGAACCAACCTAGATGCCCTTCAATAGATGAATGGATTAAAAAAATGTGGCATTTATACACAATGGAGTATTACTCAGCACTAAAAGATAACAAGATCATGGCATTTGCAGGCAAATGGATGGCGTTGGAGCAGATTATGCTGAGTGAAGTTAGCCAATCCCTAAAAAACAAATGCTGAATGTCTTCTCTGATATAAGGGGGGTGACTCAAAATGGGATAGGGAAGAAGAGCATGAGAAGAAGACTACCTCTAAATAGGGAAGAGAGGTGGGAGGGAAAAAGAGGGAAAAGGGGAGTTACATGGAAGATGGAAGGAGAACCTCATTATTATACAGAATACATGTATGATGTTGTAATGACAAAAAGAAAAAAAAGTGTGTCACATTAGATTGGATAGAGAGAAAGGATGGGAGAGGAGGGGAGGAGTAAGGAGAATAGGAAGGGCAGCAGAATAGAATTGACAATTTGATTGATGTATGTTCATTCCATATATGTATTATATGTCAAAATTCATTCTGCTGCATTGTATGACTAAAAATAAATAAATAAATAAATAAATAAATAAAAAAAAAAAAAGAAAAATCCTTTGGCTTTATTTTGAATTTGGAAACACTTAAAATCCCAATATGAAAATGAGATCAGGTTAAATACATATATATGATCCTATTAAGTAAAGGAAAAAAAACCACAAAACCTAAATGTTTGTTTGTGGGTGAGCTATACACAGTTTTATCTGTTTCACTGTTATATTCCTTAACAGAGTGCCTAGACCAAAGAAGGACTGCAATTACAATTTGGTGATTAAATATATATAGCAAATAACTTACTGAAACACATTAGATGTCTATGGTGGTATAATTAGTGATGGGATTATGGTTGATAGCTATATCCTCTTTACCCAGTATTGGGGACTGCTTGATCATTCCCTAATCCCTTTTTATTTTGAGACAGAGTCTTGCTAAGTTGCCCAGCACAGCTTGAAACCTGTGATCCTCCTGCCTTAGTCTCCCAAATAGCTAGGATTATAGGTGTGTACTACACTTGGTTTGTAACTTTCAAATTTTATTTTTTTTCTGATTTGTATCTTCTAATTTGGAGTTCCTTTTTTATACAATCACAACCTAATTTCTTAAAAAAGGATTAAATCAATCTTAAATGTCCTTAAATCATCACTTAGCTCAGGGTTTCTCAATCCTGGCACTATTAATATTTTAGACTGAACAATTCTTCATTATGGAGGAACATTCTGATAATTGTGGGATATTTAACAGCATCTGGGCCTCTTCCCACTAGATGCCTCCAAGTCATGAAATCAGAATGTCTCCAGAGTAGTCAAATATCCCCTGAAACCAAAACTGCCCTAGCTGAGGACCACTGATCTGGATTAGAATTTTTTTTTTTGGTGGAGGTACTGGGACTGAACCCAGGGTACTTTACCACTAAGCCACATCCTTATCCCTTTATGTTTTTTATTTTGAGACAGAGTCTCCCTCCCTAAGTTGTTTAGGGCACTGCTAAGTTGCTGAAGTTGGCCTTGAATTTGAAATCCTCCTGCCACCCTGATCAGCTAGATTAGAATCTTTCATTGCCACATTTAGTCCTGTAATTGGTCCCAAGTATTTTGCGGGCTATAACTCATTTACAAAAAATTCAGAATAAATTCTTTCCACATATAAAACTACCATAAGACTTAAAACTAACTTGACAAATAAAAAGGCTACCAAGAACTTAGCTAAGATTTTAAGAACTTTTTTCCTTTTCATTTCACATTTAAACTAATCCTGTCGTCATTCAGAGATTTATTAACAAGTCTGAGAAAGTTAGATTAAAATTAGTTCCAAACTGCTTATGTATCCAAACCAGTCTATCTCCTGACAGCCACCTTTACACAAATATTTGTTATTATAGAAATAATTCACCTCAAATTTTAAAAAACGAAAAATCACCTAACAGATCAATGCAGGGTTATTAGTGAACATTTCTCAGGTTTGCTCTGTGGAAGAAAGTGGGAAATACTGTGCAGCAAGGGTTCAAATGCCCTTGAGGGAGAGGGGCAGAGAGAAAATGTAAATGAGACGAGAGGCAGTTCACAGCAAGAGGGAGGTGGGAGGCCAGCAGGGGAACCAGAAAGCTCCAGTGGAGCGTCAGTGTGTGGGAGTTCAGGAGTCCAGATATCCACATCTTCCAAGTTTTAAGGAGTCAGAACTAGATTTTTATATAGTAAAATCTGTCCAAGTTTACATGTTGGCAAGTGGCTTCAATTGAAAAAGTTTTGTGGGTTGTTTTAAATAAAACACACCTTGGGGGCTGGGACTGTAGCTCAGTGATAGAGAGCTTGCCTAGCATGTGTGAGACACTGGGTTTGATACTCAGCACCACATAAAAATAAATAAATAAAATAAAGATACTGCATCCATCTACAACTAAAAAAAATTAAACAAACAAACAACCCCCCCTCCCCCGTCCACTATCTTCAATTTCTACTGCATAGTGTCGACTCAGGATTCATCCAAATGGTTCTCTGAAAAGCCTGGCACTGATGATATTGTTTAATTTCTTAAAGTCAGTGTTTCTCAAACTTATTTGAACATCCATTATTTCTTGAGTAATGACACAAACATCTAACTCTGTGGCACATACTCTGAAATTTAAGAATTAGAAGCAGAAGGATGGTCAGTGCCAAGGACAGAAATAACAGCCATTTCAAGAAAGATTAGGAGGTTTGTTTAGAATATATTCACCTGGGCGTATGATGACAGAACAGAAACTTGGTGACTGAATTAAGAAAAGTACTTAAGAATTACTTTGGCCTACTCTGTATAAATACAGTGGACAAGAAGAGTTCCCTAGTGCAACAATGAAATGCATTTCTTGTCAACCCTAGAGATTAAAGGTTTACATGTGCCACTGTTATAATGGAGATTAAATGGCACAGGGTCACAGTGGGTAAATGGCCATTACTTCACAGATCTATGTCTCATATATTTTAATAAGCACAGAAATGGAATTTAGTCATGTCAGAAAGGATTGAGACTCGCTGAGTGCCAAACAAAAGGACTGGAAGAAAAAGCATATTTAAAAATTTAGGTTTTACCATACAAGCTTCTCTTGCTTGATGTATTGATGGATCTTTTTCCAATATAGATTTATAGTCTTCCAGGGCTTCATCTAGCTTGTCTGTCTTCTCATACAACTCCGCTCTCCTCAAAATTGCCCTGATGTAGCTGGGGTTCAGCTTAATTGCTATAAAACAAGACAAAACAAAAAACTTAGTTGTTATCACAAAGAAAAAAGGGCTACATGAAATTCATTTATTTACCAGGAATCCTCTAAGTAATTAAAGTCATTTGTTAAAGTCCATACATACTTAAGGTTTGTAAATTTGTTCTATAAAGGACAAAATCGTAAAAATTTTAGGTTCTGTGGACCAGACAATTGTAGTTGCAACTACTTAACTGTGCTAGTGTAACACAAAAGTATAGGCAATACGTAAACAGATAAAGGTGGCTGTGTTCCAATAAAACTTTACTTACAGACACTGAAATCTGAGTTTCACATATAAAATAATATTTTTTTATTTAATTAGCAATTATTTTAAAATGTAGAAATCTTTCTTAACTTGTGGGCTGTACAGGCTGGACTGACTTATGGCTTTAGTTTGCCAAACCTAGGTCTATAATCCAAGTCCTGTTATGTGCCTACGTCTTCCACGCAGCCCAGAAGAGGCCAGAACACAGAGCTTAAGTACACAGTGGATGAGTACAAGAGATCCGAAGGGGAGCCGAAGGAAAGCAGTCTGGTGGCAGACTATCCTTTTATTTTTTCTAGTCCTTGACTATTAAATCCTCACTGTTCTTTCATACTACTTTTCCAGTACCTTTGGGTCATGAGTGCACAATCTTGTCCTCTATGCAGGAACAACTGCCCTAATAACCCTTTGCTGTTTTGGTTCAAGTACACTGCATTTCTCCTATTCCCTTCTGAATTGTTTCTTCTTTCAGAAAGCAATGTCTTATCTCTAAAACTTTTCCTCTTCATAAAATGTGGACTTCATTTTCATTCATTTGTGCTTTTAGCAAATATTTATACAGTACCTAAATCTTTGTGTCTAATTTAGTAAAACTTGGGCTACCACAGTAAACAAGACAAAGGCCTTGTTCTTATGAGGCTTTATGCTGTCCTTGTACAGCAAGAGCAGGCCGTCACACACGGGAATGACTTCATGCAGTCACAGTGCTTTAATGAAGGAAAAACAAGGTAACAGAGACACAAGTGAAGAGGTAACTTCAGAGAGTGGTCAGAGAATGCAAAGAGGGACTTTCTGAGGAAGGCCAACTATCTGAAAGAAGAGGAGGAATGTACCATAGAGGAAGTAACATGAATGAAATTCCTTAAACAAGAATAATACTGGCATGTCAGTGAACAGTGTGGAGGTTGGAGGAGAGATAAGAGTGAACACACAGGCCAGGTCCATACCTTGGAGGGCCTCTGGGCCAGGGAAGAGTTTGGACTTTTTTCTCTAGGTGTGATAAAAGTCACTAGAAGGGTTTCTAATAAGTGTAAGCCATAATCTAATTAATATATATATATTATTTTATTTCATTTTTTGGTGACACAGGGAATTGAACCCAGGGAGCACTTTACCAATGAGCCACGCCTCCAGCCATTTTTAATTAATTTATTTTTGAGACAGTGTCTCAGTAAATTGCCTGGCCTGGTCTCAAACTTGTGATCCCATTGCCTCAGCCTCCTGAGTGGCCTGAATTTCAGGTGTGCACCCCCATGCCTAGGCTGATATACATTTTTTTCAAGGACTGCTTCAGCTGTAGACTGGGGGACAGGGGTGAAAGCAGTGTAACTAGATGGGAGGCTACTATAGTGACCCAGATGAGACATGTTGTTGGCTTGGTCTAAGGCGGAACAGTGGAGCTTGAAAGAGGTGGCCAGATTAAGTATATGCTTTTGAATTTCAGCCCACAGGACTCATGGAATGGAATGAAAGAGAACATTCAGGGATGACTCCACAAGTTTCAGCTTAAGTAAATAAATGTATGGCAATGTCATTTATTAGAATAGAAAACAACTAACTGAAAATCTTGAAGAGTAAGGGTGAATGGGCATCTTCAATCTGAAATGCCTACCAGACATCCAGGAAGAAACAATAGCTTTGCAATGGGACACAGGTCTCCAGATCACAGAGAAGAGTCAGAGCTAAAGGTGTAAACTTTAGCATACAGAGAGTAGGTATTCATTAGTTTCATAGTTTTAATTTATTAATTCTGCTTTTATCTTTATTAAGACATTCCTTTTGGTTCCCTTAATTCTACTTTTTGGCTCTAATTTCTTGAGTTGAATAATTTATATATTTTAACCATTTTAATTTTATTTTTAAGTTGACAAAATTACATACATTTAGGTGTGCATGATGTTTTGAAGTACGTATATATTATGGAATGGAATCATTGAGTTAATTTACACAGACCATCTAAAGCTTCAGAATTAGATAAGTTCAAATAGGGAAAAAATATATGCAGAAAAAGCTAAATAAGGCTTCCAAAATGTTGAGGTAACAGAGAAGGCAGCACGCAGAGAAGAGTAAGAATGAAGAACCAAAGAAGCAGAAGAAAAAAAAAAAGGACAGAGAATGAATACAGTGTGTGTGGTATCATTGGATTTAGGGGGAAATTTCCTAAAAAAAGACAGGAAGGTATGAAAAATGGTACTAAATGCTTCTGGGATGGAGTAATACTGGAGAGGATAGAGAAGTGATCACTGGAGTGAGCGAGATGCAACTGTTGCTGACCTTCACAGGAGCCATGTCTTCAGGGGCATGGACAAAGAAGAAGCCCTGTGGAAGTGAGAGGAGGGGAGAACAAACAGGAGGAGACATGTGGAGCCAGGGAGTACAGACGGTTCTTTTAATGAGGAAGATCAGAGAAATATACAGAAGCTAGAGAGGGAGATGGGATCAGCAAAAGGTTTTCAGGAAGAACCCAAATCTCTTAACATTTCAACTCTACAGGCTGTCCTGCCAGCCTCCTCTTAGTCTGGTACACTATACCCTTTTATAATATTCCTAGTTACGATTATCACACTATCCACAGGAAAAACACTCCAATGGTCCTCTACTCCACCTTTCATAGAATGGAATTCCTCAATTTACACATTAGGTCAGATACCTCAACCTATGCAACTGCTAGACTGCTTCTGATTATGTATACGTGCAATGAAGAGAAGGAATTTTTCCTATTGCCACTGTATATCTCTAAAACTAGTATCAGTATAATGTGATTTTCCTTGTTAATCTATACTGAGAATAACCTTAAACCTCATTTATGCCAACACTGAAAACCTTAGGGTGACTAGCACTAGAAACTGTTCCTTATGTAGTACAGAGCTCTAAGACGACCTCAGAAATAAGCTGTTAATGGGCTGGAGATGTGGCTCGAGCGGTAGCACGCTCGCCTGGCATGCGCAGGGCACTGGGTTCGATCCTCAGCACCACATAAAAATAAAATAAAGATGTTGTGTCTACTGAAACTACAAAATAAATATTAAAAAAAAAAAAAAGAAATAAGCTGTTAAATTCTTACCAAGGTGTATGAATGAGAGCAAGGGTGTATATGTGTTGAAGGTGTGGAAGGGACTTGAACCCAGCTACCATTAACCCACTTTGCCTATGAATGCATTCATAATGGCTGTCTAGGCACAGGAATAAGAATGTACATAGATCTGAAAGGAAATCTGGAAAACACTTTCCTCCCTTTTCCAAAATGTTGAGGTTAACAGAGAAGGGGGCCTACACAGAGGAATATAGCTGGAAATTAACTGTTTTCTATGGTATACCTACTGGTCAAGCTTACAAAGGGTTTTTTTTGGACTACCTGGTTTCAGAGAAAGGAGCTCTGAAGATCAACAGCTTGTTCCTGAACTTTTCAAATTCAAACACCTCATACAGAGGAAATACATTAAATACCGTTTTTTCCCCAACAAAATAGTACATTCAGAGTTAGTTCCAGTTCAAGACAGTAATAGATCAGAAGTAGCTTGCTAGATTTTACTGTAGTAATAATTTCATTTAGATACTACAAAACAATCGAAAAGTTAAGAAGTGAATAGAGATTGCTTAATTAAAAACAAACAAACAAAAACCAGATAAGGGAATTCATGCTTTGTGTGGAAGGGGAACCAGATAACATAAAAGCTTCTTTTCAACTGTAATTCTCTCAGAAAATATTTTTTTAAAAATTAGTAGAAAAGCTGAAAAATATACTATTTGGAAAAATAAAAAAACCAACCAAACAAACCCCATATACACAAACAAAACACCCCCCAAAATAGCAGTGATCCTATATCTAAAGGTTTCTTTATAAAAGTTGGTGGGAAGTAAAGACCTTAATGGAACTCAGATATATAGCAAAGGCTTGATTCATTTTATAGACTCTAAAAGAACAATTGGCAAATTCTCCTGATCTGTGATCCCTGTGGGGTTTTTAAGGACCCCACACATACTAGATAAGTGCTCTAAGATTGAGTTCCATCCACAGCCCTGGAGAAGTCGGTTTGGAAGGATGATTATATCAAAAGTCACTGTCTGCTACAATCAGAAAATGCCCCTCATGGGGTTGCACACCTGTAATCCCAGTGGCTCAGGAGGTTGAGACAGATTTCAAGTTCAAGGCTAGCTTCAACAACTTACTGAGGCTCTAAGCAACTTAGTGAGACCCATCTCAGTTCTCAAACTAAAAAATAAAAAGGACTGGGGCTGGGGGCTGGGGTTGTGGCTCAGAGGTAGAGTGCTTGCCTAGCAGTGCGAGGCCCTGGGTTCGATCCTCAGCACCACATAAAAATAAATAAAATAAAGGTATTGTGTCCAACTACAACTTAAAAAAAAAAAGGACTGGGGATGTAGCTCAATGGTTAATCCTTGGTATTAGGGTTGAAGGGGGTAGTGGGGAGAAAGCACCCTCACTGTGCTTTGCGCTCCCTCCATAAACACACAGATCCAAATGCCCTAATAACAGCTAAGACCTTCAGTTTGAACTTCTAAGGAAAACAATTCAGAGATCACACAAAGTAAATTGTTTCACAAATGAGTTCCATTGCCAAGGTAGCTTTTAATTTTTCATCATATAGTTTCTAACACAGAAGAAATGGACTAAATTATCTACTTGAAAGTGTGCTTACTCTATGATGACTACTATTATGTAAACTATAAAGCTGCTTCTTTAAAAGCCCCAGCAGCAGAGTACATAAGGTACAAGTGTACAACTGCCCCAAAGCCCCTGTATTTGTGGGTCTAGCTGAAGTAACACTCTTGTGTACTAGTAGGTAGTAAGACAAAAGATGTACCTTTGCTGCAGTCATTGATGGCCATGTCCTTCTTGTCCTAAAAGGAAACACAACATTAATATGCATTACTCTAGTTTTATCTTAACGGTTCAAAGTCCTTTGGTATGATCCGATCATAATAACTGCTATGGAGAAACGGAATGTTTTTCAAAGCAATCACGTGAAAACAGCTATGCTACCTTCACTGGGATTACAGGGGTCTGCCACTGTGCCCAGGTTCCAGCTATGTTTAAAAACTGTTAGATGTAGGTTTTGACACATGGCAGTATATGTTAATGAACACTGTTCTAAACTTTAAATAATTTTTTTGGCTGGGGATGTAGTTCTGTAGTAGAGCACTTCCCTAATATTTGTGAGGCCCTGGTTTAATCCCCAATACTGCACCCCCCCAAAAAAGTCTTATTTTTTGTTTTCTTAATACAAATTGTTGGTGTATATTCTATAAAATGTCTTCTCCCATGCCACATAAGCCACATGAAACACTTCAAAAGTACTTCACCTTGGAGATGGAATTCATCTATATACATGTGCAGGCTTTAAAAACAAACAACTTTCTGCAGGTCTAAGCATTTAAGTGTACTCTCTTCCCTACCCCAAGGCCTTTCAAAACAAAATACCAAAAAACCTGGTTAATCAAATTGACTTTGGTGGAGACACTAGAAAATTTCAGGCCATATCAAAGAGAAAGTGACAGTAAATACCTGATCTAAAGGAAGAAACAAACAAAAAGCCACTTTACCCAATCCTGAGCCAGCTTCATGAGTTGTATAAAGTATGTTAAATAGCCTATCCAATCCACTGTGGATATAAGTAGCCACAGTTAAACAAGCAGAATTTTTAAAAAATTCTCACCATTTTCAATCTAGCCATACTAATTATGTTGACTAAATAGGAAAACTAGACAAAATCAGCAATAAATCTCATTATTTGTACCAACACAATATAAAACAAATATATTTTCACTCTCATTTATTCCACACTCACCCTATTATACCAGGTTCTCAATTCTTTTGAAATAAAAAAACTTTATGAAACTTTCTCTGACACATACTTTGGATTTTTTAAAAATATTTTTTAGTTATAGATGGACACAATATCTTTATTTTGTTTATTTATTTTTATGTGGTGCTGAGGATCGAACTCAGTGCCTCACATGTACGAGGCAGGCGTTCTGCCACTGAGCCACAACCCTAGCCCCATACTTTGGATTTAAGGGTAACTTTCATCCCAACTGTTGGACACTTCTCCCAGTGTCCATTATTTGAATGGAAAAATCAGTCTCGGGAATAAGCATCTTTATATCTAGAGGTTTAACCAGTGTTCCCCTGTGCCTTTAAATCTTTATCTAGAATTCCAGAGGCCTAAAATAAGTAGCTGTAGCTATTCTGAGAAATGCACTACTTGGCTCCTTGCTTCATTAACCTGCCCTAGTTTAGTGGAAACTTCGTCAGCCTTTCTTCCATGAAAGTATTCACTCAGCTACTTTAATATGGAATGTTAATGGTAGTGTGACTCAAGTTCTCCCAAAATATTTTTCTATCTTCCCCGTGCCCTTTACATAAGGGAAATACATGGGCAGGAAAAGAGAAATAGCAACTTTAAGCCCTTATGTTTTTTTTTTTTAGATAAACTGCCTTTCAAAATACTGTAAGACCATGTGCTTCTTTAAAAGAAAAGGTCAAAGATCCATACCTGCTTCATCCTTGCAGCAGCTCTATTTGAAAACAGAATTGATCTGTCTTTCTGGAAGCAGGATGGGCACATCTGAAGGGCTCGACTATAAGAACTTTCAGCTTCTATATAATCTGAGAATAATAAGAGAGGTCATTATGATTTTATTCATGATACTATTGCATTCTGTAGGACCTCAAAATGTATAGCTTCCCATTTATAAGACAAAGGTTTTAAATAAAAAGATAGTCTCAGTCTATTAAGTTTTGGGCAGTAAATTTCATTCCCCCCTTTCTTCTCTCTGTAAAGAAACAGTGCTTCTTTGTGCCAATCTCACAAGGCATGAGCTTGGTGAACTGACAGCTGAACATGCTGTCAGTGAAGAGCACTCAATGCTCAAGAGTAGTAGCATACCTTAGATGTTCACTTTCATTTGGTTCAGCAATTTAGAAAGGAATGTTCAAAGGCGGTTAAGGAACTGGACAGATCAAAGAGATTAAAGTCTGGGATCCATGATTTGGGATGAAAAAAAAGTTTTACAGCTAGGGTACAGCTCAGTGGTAGAATGCTTGTCTGGCACGTGCAAGGGCCTGAGTTTCATCCCCAGCCCAGCACCACACCCCTACCCCTCCACAACCAAAAGTATATAATTTTTTCAAGAAAGCTATTGTGCTTTCATGAAGATAATTTGGCTAAAACTATATGCATGAAATGTTGGGGTTTTTTTTTGTTGTTTGTTTTGATACTGGGGATTGAACCTGGAGTGCTTAATCACTGAGCCACTTCCCCAGACTTTTTTTTTTTATTTTGAGCCTCAGTCTCTCTAAGTTGCTTAGGGCCTTGCTAAGTTGCTGAGGCTGGCTTTAAACTTGCTATCCTCCTGCCACAGCCTCCTGAGTTTCTGCTCTATCACACTCTGCTGCATAAAATGTTTGGAGAGTTTTTTTTTGCAGTGCTGGGGACCCAACTCAGCCTTGCACATGCGAGATAAGCACTCTCCCACTGAGCAGCCTGTGAAGAGACATTTTATAAAGACCTAAAACTGTAAAAAAACATTATTTAACTTTAAAAGAGAAATTTTAATTAAATGTATGTGTTCATTGTTACATGCAGAATTATGGTAAAGATACTAAGAACAAGTTGTCTATTCATTCCTGTCCCAGGTTTGAAATATTTAATACTAACATACAACCCAGGAGTGATGGTACACGCCTGTAATTGCGGCTACTTGGCAAGGTGAGGCAGGAGGATCACGGATTTGAGGCCAGTCTCTATAAGGTAGCAAGATCCTGTCTCAAAATAAAATAAAAAGGGCTGGGGATATAGCTCAGTGGTAGAGAACTTGTCTGGTATGCACTAGGGCCTCTTTTCAAGCCCCAGGACTGCTCCCCCACCAAAAGAAACCACACAAAAAGCTATGTTTTCAAAATTAGAACCATTACTTCTATTAGGAAAAAAAAAAAAGTCATGACTGCTAAAACCAAGATATAAGAAAATAATTAAACCTAAAAATAACTAGGGGAAAATTATGTTAACACTCCTAGACTTCTAAAGTATATATACTTTGACATGGTACAGAAAGTTATTATAAGATTGAATTCACCAAATTATCAGAATGAACCCTAACTTTATTCCTAAGCAAATGGAGAAAATGCATAAGGACATGAAGAACCTCTCTCTACTTAAGGCATCTATTAAGGTTTGAATATAGTTTGTTCCTTAACAGTTTCATGTGTTGGGAGCTCAGTTTTCAATGTGGTGAAGTTGGGGACCTTTAAGAGGCAGGGTTTACTGCAAGGTCCTCAGATCACTGGAGGCACTGCCCTGGGAGGGGAATACTGGTGATCTGGATAGTGTGCTCAAGACAGCCAATTGTTATAACAGTCTGAGATTTTCCTCAGTCTCTCTCTGGCTTCCTTTTGAGATGTAATCCTTTCCTCTTGCATGTGTTCCTACCATTTGCAATAGGGCCTTTAACTAAGCAGGCAATACATTTGTTGGGCTTTGTAGTGAGTGAGAATTGGGGACTCTGATTTTACACAATGCATTAAGGTAGTGTTCTCTAAAGCAGTAGCTGAGCTTCACCCTTGACTTTAGAATTAATAGATTATATTAGACTACAGAAAAGAAAAACTGCTCATGCCAAAAGATACACAGTAACTGATCACTGCCAAATGAGAATGACTTGGAGCTGGTTAAAAAAAAAAAAAAAAAAAAAAATGTAGGTGCTGGGAAATGACACCACATCGTGAGCAACTAAGACTTGCTAGTTGTTTCCAAATGTTCTTTGGTTTATCTTCATGAACTCTGAAACAGGATGAGTCAAGATGGCCAGACATCAGTGTTAGAACAGTTATCTTACCTCCTTTCTTAAACTGCTCGTTTCCCTCCTCCTTTAGTCTAGTGCTCTCCTCTCTCCTTTTCTGGAAAAGATCATAGAATTATTACACAATTTCTTAACAATATTATAATGAATAAAAAGGGTTTCTATATACACAAGTATATTTAATGGGTAGCAAGTTGACTTTTGAGAACTGGGTCAGTTTTACCCAAATCCCAAACAGTGACAAGAGAAAAACACATGACTAATCATCAACTGCATTTTCATGTTTGAAATAAAAGGTAGGTGTTGTTGGCCTGTCCTTTGCTTTCTATGCTTCTGTCTTTTGCATGGAATGGCAGTTCAAGTATCAGCTAATTTTTATTCACTCAAAAATGAAACTAAACAACCTGCACCCTGATTTGCATACTAGTATAAATTCAAATTCTGGCTCTATACTTAAATTGCACAACCAGTTTCAGAATCTTTCTGAGCTTTAGTTTCTTCATTTAAAACAATAAAACTTTAATAGTGTTGACTTAATGTTTAGTGGGTTTAAGTGATTATGTATGGAAAGCTTCCAACACAGTGGCAATAAGTATAAATTACTATTTTTCTGTAAAATAAGCAATTTATTACTCATTTAGCAAGAATTGTGGGTTATGTCATGAAGGAAACAGAGTATCCTGAAAGAGTACATTACAGAGGACAAGTCATACCCACAGGGTTGGGCATTATGCTGTTAGCAGCTGATACAGGAAAATTTAAAGAAACCTAGATAAGTAACTCTCTCTTTTCTTAGCTTGTTTTAACAACTCAGAAACTCATACAGACGGCCAACCACACATCAAACATAAAGCAAAGCCAATGTCACCCTGTGGAGCAAAGTAACACATCTGAGCTGGTATGTACTTCTTCCAGGATCACCTTAATGTGGCTGGCACAAGCCAAACTGGCAGAAGCACCTGTAGGCCTGCTGCCCACCTTGGACAATGCTTTTTCTTTTTATATATATATATATATGAGTTGTAGGTGAACACAATACCTTTATTTTATTTTTATGCAGTGCCGAGAACCAAACCTAGTAACTCATGCATGCTAGGCAAGCACTCTACCACTGAGCCACAACCCCAGCCCCTTTTCTTTCATTTTAAAGAGAAAGTCCCGTAAAATCTCTTCCTTCATTCCTAAAGCTTCTGATTAAATAAAAACTCCAAAGGGAAGAAATATAGTTAGCAGGCTACTTAACACCCAGAATCCTAAAACCTAAATAATGGTACTCAAGATTAGAAACCAAATGAAAAATATTTCTTCTCTGGAGACCTTGTTAATGCTTTTGTGTGTGTGTGTTTTGGAATTGGAGATTAAGCCCAAGGGCACATTACCACTGAGCTACATTGCTCATCCTGTTTTATGTTGAGACAGGGTATTGCTAAATTGCTGAGACTGGCCTTGACCTTGTGATTCTCCTGCCTCAGTCTCCCGAGTCACAGGAATATAGACCTGTGTCACCATGCCTGGTTTGTTAATAGATTATTGATGAGACCAGGGTGTTTCTCAAATTTCTTATTATAACCTGGGTAAAACAGAAGACTTCATGAATCTAGTAAAGAAACTAAAACGTAGGTATAACTGAATCTACTTCTTTTGGTATCTACCATATGTCTCACACAGCAAATATAATGATAATCTATTTTAAGAAATATATAAAGGGCTATTATAAGGGAATATAGAAAAAATAAAATGGGTGGTAGTAGTGATAAAAAATACAACAGTATGGCCATATTTACCTAGTACTAACTATAAGAGAGGTACCTGGACTAAAATGTTCTCTATTGCATTGGTTAGGGGTTTTGCATGCACGTAAAAGATAATTTTAAACAAAAAAATTTAGAGGCAATTTTATTGGAAAGTTATGTGGGGCTCACAGAATCAATGGGAAGCTTAAAGAATAGGCTTAAGAAGGCAGGGAGAACTCAAGGAAGCTCTGCTCAGACAAGAAAAAGAAAGCATGTCCTTTTGTGAGTCTAGACAGGTCAGTGCTGTCATAGTAGCAAATAAATTATGACTATTCCCTTTACTTTGCCTCATTTGATCCAGATTTAAGATTTCAGTCAGAAGCATCCAATAAACCTCACTCAGGTACATGGCTTGGCTGTCAGAAGATGGAGCAACTGCCCTGGGCTACGCCACCCCACAAGATTACACAGAAGTATTCCTCCAAATTGGAAGTAGGGGGTTGAATGCTAAAGAACCAAGAAAACCCCATAAGAAATGAATTAAAAGTTATTTTAAAGCAGAAATTCTTTAGAGAAGGGCAATTCACCAAGTTACTATAGCTTAATGTACATTGTTAAAAATTTTCAATTTCCTATGCTTTAATTCTAATCTCAAACTCTTCTCTGTTCTACTATGTTCTTCAAAGCTATGTTCTTCAAAGCTCATCAAGATCCTGTCTCTCAATAAAAATGGGCTAGGGAAGTAGCTCAGTGGTAGAGTAGTTGCCTAGCATATGTGAGCCGCTGGGTTTATCCCCAGCACCACACAAACACAGAGAGACAGACCGATCATTTGGTAAATTTATAACATTAGGTTTCTAATTGACAAAGATGAAATGAAGGTACACCCAGAAAGGGCCGGCCTGAGCAAAGCTCACATTTCCTTATAATTTTAGGAGAACTAAAAGTTGGAAAACCAAAGAGAAGGGTTTTAGAACATAATTTTGAGGTCAATTATTCTAAGGAAGGCATCTTATTGTTTTGGCTGATAAATCACAACCCAAAGGCCTAGTAAGCAGTACACAAAGGAAAAGAGTTTCTGCTTCCCCCTCCACAGACTGTGTAAACTGAGGATTAATGCAATTATCAATAACATGCTGAGTATCTCCTTGGAAACAGCTAAAAATAGCACTTTGGAGGAGAAGGAACTATCTCCCAGCTGTGCCAAGAGACTGACTTGATCCCAATACAAAGACGGAGGTTTACTCTGCTGCCTGAACACACATTCTCCAACGGATAGCACGTACATTGTGTAATGTTACTGAAATCCAATGACAGATTTTATAGTGTACACAGGTCTTAGCAGGCTAAGTGCCAGAATCTTCACTCACATGTTAGCTGGTAGTGCTGATATTCTGCAGCCCTAGGAGGTACAAATCTTTCTAGATTCTGTTCAATGAACAGAAGCTTCTAATGTGGTTAGGAGTCCTCTCACACGCCTCCATAATGCCTTTTAACGTGCTTCAAAGAGGCCTCATGGGAAACATCTGCTCTTGAATTATATTTCCATAGAAATGGGAACCAAAGAAAATGTACAAGGCTCTTTACTCAGTATTCCTCCCCTTCCCTGAAAACTTGGTGGGAAACAGTGACATTATTCTATATTGTAATATCATCACAAGAACTGCCAAGGAAAACCAGACACATACAGTGTCCTCAATGAAGGAAGTTTATTTCAACAGTTCAAACTACAAACTTTCCACCTTGGTAGTAGAAATTCAGCACAATCTACACCACTAGATACTTAACCACTTATAATCTGCTGTCACATACTTTAGCTCATTTGCTTTTTCAAGACAATTCTGAGAGGTAAACACTGAGATCCTTTTATAATGAGAAAAATAAAGATTCAAAAATCTCTTGTTCTTCATACATCAAACTTCTATTTTCTCCTTCCACATCTCCAAACCAAATTTTACTAGTTTTCAAAGTCTAGCACAAATCATATCTGCTCCTCAGGGTTACTTTCCCCACATGATCTTTCTTTAAATGAAGAATGCACATATGATCTCTGAATCTGGAATTTAATTCTGCTTAATAGGTTATTTAAAATGCTTTCCCCCCCAAAAGTCTCAAATGTTAACTTGAATGCATAAATTATTTCATAAAGTATAGGATGTTATACAGGACTTTGATGGGGGTGAAGGAGGCTTTTGTGATGGCCCTCTTTCTACCCCACCCATTTCCTATGGGCCCTTTTAGATAACACTCCAAGTACTCAATCCCCCATGGTTTCCTGTCCAAGCTTCTCCCAATCCACTTTTAGGCCATCCATGGGCCTTTTACTTGGTCTGTCCCACTAAAAGTGAATTTTGCTGCAGGTGAATGTACTATTCCAGGTGTCATGTTCTCTTACGACACCTGCCTTAGAGAGTAGGAATTGGCCATCACTCCAAGGAATCCTGGATTCTTTTAGTGTGAAATGGTATTTAGAAACTGAGATGTGGGTACAAGGGTGCTGTTACTAGCACTTACTGTTACTACTTTTAGGCCTTAACAGTAAAGAAACCTGGCGGTGTGTGTGTGTGTGTGTGTGTGGGGGGGGGGGGTGTAATAGAGCTACACACACACACACAAATTTTACTAGTACAACATCCTATACTTTATGAAAATACACACACACACATTTTAAATTTTTTAAGTTGTAGATGGACACAATACCTTTATTTTATTTATTTTTTTATGTGGTGCTAAGGATTAAACCCAGTGCGTCACACATGCTAGGTAAGCACTCTACCACTGAGTCACTTCCCCAGCCCCGGAAACACATCTTAAAAAAAGAAAAAGAAGAAGAAAAAAACAAAAACAAAAACCATGACTCCAAATAATATATATATAAAAGTGAAATCCAATAATAAAGGATTTTTCTTCATCTTCCCAACAGCGAAAATTCTGTTCTCCAGACTAACAATACACATGCTCTCCAACTTATAAAGAGGTTGTGTTTGGATAAATCCATTGTAAACTGAAAATACCCTAACTGAAAATGCATTTAATACACCTAACCTACCAGATATAACAGCCTAGCAGCACAGTGTTCTGTACTGTTGGTTTACTACAGTAATGGTGGTGCTCACTGGGAGCTGCAATTGGCTGCCACTGTCCAGCATCAAACTGCATATTTCTAGCCCAGGAAAAGGTCAAAATTCAAAATTTGAACTACTATATGGTTTCTACTGAATGTATATCACTTTTACATCATTGTCAACTACAAAAACAGTAGCTGGAACATAAGTTGGAGACTGTACATTTACTCATCTGCTCTGTCCTAAATTACTATACAAATACCAGTACCAACAATAAACCTACAATGAAGAGTGCAAGA